GACTCTGGCAAAAAGAAATGGGGTGTTGTTGAGTGGGTCAGTGTGTGGCGGCGGCGGCGCCTTGAGTTTCCAGGTCAACAAGTCCAGCTGCTGGACGGCGCGCCTGGGGAGTAACGACGCGCCCTGGAGTTTTCCTTAGGTCATGATATAGCATAGCATTTGTCAGGCGAACGGTCTGAACGATTAAAGAGGTGTGTTTTGTTATCTGACTTGTGGTTTACCAGACAATTTTGAGGCAGCTCTGCGAAATCGTTTTAAATGAAAAACTATCTACTTTCAATACAGATCTTATAAAGGAGTTTCATATCCAATTATATATGGGTTAAGTAGGGTTTTCCATAAAGAATATATAGGGTTAGATAGAATGAACCTTATTCAAGATAAATTTAAATATAATGATTTATATATATGTATATAGAGACACGTAATGCTATATAAACGTAATAGGGAGTGTGACAAGCCCACCCTCACGCTAAAAAATAGTCTTTGTACTTAAAATTAAGTACAGTTCTAAAACTGATCTTCCAGTGTCTCTCATCCGACAGTTTCAATATAACATTTTTCACATTTTAACTGTGTTTAAAAATTACAGTTTTCAACTGTTGTTTTTGACGTGTTTTTTTTTTTCATCCGTATGAAATGAAAAAACAAAACCTATGTAAGTCTGGCTGTTGTTTTTTAAAGTAAGTCGTCAGAGTTCCGAGTCCCGCCGGAAACTTACGAAGTAATTTCACTCGTTCCGACGTCTGCGCAAGCAGTGCGACTGGTTGGTTTGGACGGCAGAGTTCTATTTTTAAAAACGCTACCAACCATTTTTGTTTGCACAGGTTGTGTGTGCATTGGAGGAAATGAAAAAAAAACGACTGCCTCAAAAAAGAAATAATAGAGCAGACAAGGGTTACAGACGCACACAGCTGCTGCTGCTGCTGCTGCTACCGCTGCGATTGGAGGGAGCCTCCACGGGGGAGGCGAGGGGGGGGGGAGGGAGAGGGAGGTAGGGAGAGAGAGAGAGAGAGAGACACGCACGCAGTCTG